GAAATACAAGACCACCCCTGAATATGGCCCTATTTTCAAGGGAATGGGAATAGAGTCAGATCTGGATTTGTACATGAGTAGTTCACAGAGGCAGCTGGGTCCTAGCCTTGGGATGTTAAATCCACAGAATGGAGAGGTGATCTGGTAAGAGCAGCTCTGAACTTCATGCTTTTCATTGGAAAAGTAAGGGGCCTGTTTAGATCTTTTTCTGTGACACCAGTAGGGGAAGCAAGGAGTCCTTTGGTGGAGATCATGTGCCCTTTAGATTTACTAGAAGTATGCATCATTGTTACTGCCAGGCTCCTTGAGATGGTCAACAGCAGTGTTCTCTCTAATTTCCTTAATGACTGCATGGACCTCTGATGCATGTTCATAACAGTAACTTCTGGAATTGGAAGTCTATGCTGCGATCAGTACACCGATGCCAATTGCCTTACATGGAACATTGGAGCAGCTGCGCTCATACAACTTAGAGAGGGAAAGTTGGTTAATAGACTTGTCAAAGTCAACTGTCAAACCCGCTTGATGTAAAGTCAAAAGGACTTGTCAGAAGTGTCAACAACTTGTTATACAGACCCTTTCAGAGGATCTGTCAAACGTGTTAGAAACACCTGTCAAAGGGAGCTGTCAAGCTACCAAGATATTTAAACCTCCTGCTCTTTAAATCTCTGAAAATAGTTTGGACCATTGAAAAAAAGCTGGTTTGTTATGTCACTTAACTGTTGACCTAGAGTCAAGGGTTTCCATTGGGTCAAAAATCACATGACACCAGGTTATAATCCAACAGGTTTATTTGAAAACACAAGCTTTTGGAGCTTTGCTCCTTCCTCAGGTGTAAGGATATAGGAAGTATCAAGACACAGAAGAATTTATAAGTAAAAGACCAAAGGAACATACGACTGATGGGAGTGTATTGAATAAACCTAAAATGGCTGGATGACTCCCTCCTGTTAAATCTTTAATCAGTTAGAAAGGAGATGTGGGTATCGACTGATTAAAATGCAAATCCCAGAACTTCTTTCAAGTCACTGCCCTGAGATAAAAACTTAGTTAGTGTATACAAGAAGTGACATCTCAGGTCAGACAATGCAATTTAGGTGTGAAGCCTTGTTTAGAATCTGTCTGATGTTTTAACCTGGAGTCAGACTTGTTTTATTTCCAAAGCAGGAATTTATAAAATGCCTCATTGACTGACTGTGTCTACAAATTGAGTGCTGTTTGAACAAAATAGAATGCATCTGCAAATACAAATCTTCAAATGCAAATTCATCCCATAGCAGGAGACACTGCCAAGCAGACGAGGTGACTACACAATTTACATGCACACCAAGAACAAGAAACTGGAGAAAATTGGCATCACCACCAGCAATAACTAAATCTCCCCTGGTACCACAGTGAAGAGCGGTACCACCATGGGAAAATCCATCGACCACACCCTTCAATTAGACAAGATTGAAGTTCTTAGCCGAAGACTGAATTTCTGCCCCACACCAAAACGGATCCCATTGATCTCACTGCAGACACAGAGGAATTCATCAGACGAATGAGACTTCGGGAATTCTTCCAAGATGTCAGCAGCAAGCCCAATGAGCTAACCAATGAATTGGAGCAGTTGACAGAGATCCGTGTTGGAGCGACTAAAGAAGGAGTCAAACTGAATCCCTCCAGAAGGCTGCTGCTCCTAGGCTTGACATGTATGCTCAAGCTGTCAAGAAATGCGTGAACTCCAGATTGATCAGCTGCACTCACCAGGTAGCACAAAACGTCACCCATCTATGCTCTCAAGATCAATCACAACATTGTCTGCTGGTTTGATGCCAAAGGAGGCGCAATTGTTGTACAGAATAGAACCGACTACTGCAAAGAATTGTACTGACAACTGAACAAACAGGAACTCTACAGACAACTACCTGCCAATCTGACCAAAGAATACACCCGTGAACTCAACAGACTGATCAAGACTTTTGATCTGGTCCTTTGAAGTACCCTATGCACGCTCATCCCATGTACTTCTGGCATAGGGGACTTCTGCCTTCCGAAGATACACAAAGCCAACATACCTGGAGGTCCCATCGTATCAGGCAATGGGAGCCTGTGGGAGGACCTCTCCGGCTATGTCGACGGCATCTTGAAACCCATTGTACAGGGAACCCCCAGCTTCTGTCACGACACTACAGATTTCCTATAGAAACTCAGCAGCTATAGACCAATTGAACCAGGAACATTCCTTGTCACAATGGACATTTTGGCACTCTACACCAGCATCCACCATGATGACGACATCACTGCAACAGCCTCAGTGCCCAGTACCACCGACTGCCAATTTCCAGACGCCATGTTACAACTCACCTGCTTCATCCTCAACCACAAATGTCTCCACCTTCAACAACCAGTTCTTCATCCAGACACACGGAACAGCCATGGAAACCAGAGTTGCACCCCAATGTACCATTCTCATGCACAAGATCGAACACGACTTTTTTGCTGCGTAGGACCTCCAACCAACGCTATACACCAGATACATCGACAACATTTTCTTCCTTTGAACTCATGGCGAGGAATCACTGAATCAACTACATAGCGATATCAAAAAGTTCCGTCCCACTAGACTTACCACGGACTACACTTTAGAATCAGTCTCATTCTTGGACACACTCATCTCCATCAAGGATGGACACCTCAGTGTCTCACTCTTCCGCAAGCCCGCAAATAACCTCATGATGCTGCACTTCTCTAGCTTCCACCCTAAACATTTAAAAAAGTCATCCTCTGTGGACAAGCCCTACATACAAAGGATCTGTTCAGATGATGAGAAATGCGAAGGACACCCTGATAAGAATGAGGCTTGACTCATCGACTGCAAGTTCTGACGAGTCACAGCGAAAAACCTTAATGACCTCCTCAGAAGACAAGAGATGGGATACTACAGATAGGGCACCCTTCCTTGTCTAGTACTTCCCTGGAATGAAGAAACTATACCGTATTCTTCACAGCCTTCCACACATTTATTGATGATGATGAGCACCTCACCAAGATTTTCTCTACCTTTCCACTTCTTGCCTTTAAACAGATGCCAAACCTTAAACAGACCACTGTTTGCAGGACAACGTTGATCACAACACCACACAACTCTGCCATGGCAACCTCTGCAAGACATGTCAGATCATCGACATGGGCACTACCATCACACATGGGAACACCACCCGCCACTACACAGCAGATACTCATGTGACTCGGTCAACGTTGCCTATCTCACATGCTGCAAGTAAGGATGCCCCGAGGCAGGGTACATTGGTGAAACCATGCAGATGCTATGACAATGGATGAATGGACACTGCACAACAATCGCCAGCAGGGGTGTTCCCTCCCAGTGGGGGAACACTTCAGCGGTCAAGGACATTCGGCCTTGGATCTTTGGGTAAACATCAAGGCAGACTGTGGGATACACAACGATGCAGAATTGCTGAGCAGAGGCTGATAGCCACATGCAGTACCCATGAGGATGGCCTCAACCGTGATCTGGAGTTCATGTTGCACTGCAGGTGACGCCATCCCCCATACACACACACACAGAATGTATCTGCGCATGCAAATTCAATTTTTTAAATTCCTGCTTTGGAACTAAAACTCCAGGTTAAAATACAGACAGATTCTAAACAAGGCCTCACACCTAAAATGCAATGTCTGACGTGAGATGTCACCTGTTGTATAAACTGATAAAATCTTTAGTTTTCTTGGGGCAGTGACTTGAAACAAGTTCTGGGATTTGCATTTTAATCAATCGAAACCTGCATTGCCTTTCTAACTGATTAAAGATTTAACAGGAGGGAGTCAGCCAGCCATTTTAGGTTTATTCAATACATTCCTATCAGTTGTATGTTCCTTTGATCTTTTACTTATAAATTCTGTGTCTTGGTACCCCCTCTTTCACTACACCTGAGGAAGGAGCAAAGCTCCAAAAGTTTGTGTTTTCAAATAAACCTGTTGGACTATAACCTAGTGTCGTGTGATTTTTGACCTTGTCCAACCTAGTCCAATACCACCTACTCCAAATCATTACAGTATTAGCACTGCATGGCTGTTTCCCATCCATCCATAATCACTGTATTTTCACAGTTTGATTGACAGCTACAAGTGGTTATAGACACTTTGACATAACAATATTAATTTCAATGCTTTAGGATGTGTTCACTTTTGTTATAAGACTGTATTTAGAAACAGGAAGTATTGTTTTCAGGTATGGTACGAAGATAAGTAAGTAAGTTGTGAAGAAGACATAAAGGATATAAGCAAGGCAAGTTAAATGAGTTGTAAAAAGAATGACAAATAGAGTAAAATGCGAGAAAATGTGAATTTGTCCTTTTTAGCAGGAAGAACAGAAAAGTAGCATATTATTTAAGTTGCATGAGGGGCTGGAATTCTGATGTAGAGTCAGTTAGGTATCATGGTACATGAATCACTTTGAGGCCACAATCAGACCAGTCATGATCTTCTAAAGTGGTGGAGCAAACTAGAGGGGCTGAATAGCTTAACATGTCCCTATTGGTATGTATGTTCAAGGCGGGGGTTAGGCTATCTGGTCTCAGCCACCATTTTCACCACAACAGAAAGGCTCTTCATTGCAGTGAAAATCCAGGCCTCCATCACTTATAGAATCAAGGAGATCTCACACTTCCTTCAAATGAAATAAAACCTTTATATTAATGGAGACACATGCCTTTTGTAACACAAACTTGCTTCAAAAATCACAAGCATGTCTCAAGTCCTCTCTTTCAAAGTGTAATTTGCAATCGTTACCTTCTTTGCTCGATGTGGGAAAACATAGACCTTGAAGGTTTTTTCCACAACAATGTGTCTAGCCTCTCAAGATCATTATTATCTCTTAAATTGACTTCTATATTGGTAGATGATCACTGACTCAGCCAATAACTATAGATTTCCACTATATCACAAGTAATGTGTCAGATGTCAGCAGAAAACAACTTCATGCACTGGGCAAGGAAGGAATATAAGGAGCAGACTCGAAATTCACAAATTCCTAAGTGTGAGCTAGAGTGTCTGAGCTAGTGAGCCACTCACAATTGATTTGAACAGGGTGTTGAATTTATGCAGGAGAGATGCTTTAAGATAAAATGGCTGAACTGCTTTTGTTTCTGTTTCATAAGTTCAAACAACAACCTGCTACAAGAGCAATAAAGACACTTGACACTTATTGTTTCTGTGAATGCAGTCAGAATGAAGACAGTTCCATTCAGTAACCTATTACTTTGCTGTGTTGAGCTGTAAACAAAGAACTTAACTTGCCTGGTAAGTGAAAAAACTGCCTTACCTCTTCTGTCTTCAGCTTTTTTTTAACATCTTTCCCTGCATCTTGGATATTTTGATTCCTTTGTGGTGTCTTCTCTCTTTCTATGCAAGCAGTGTATTCTATTCCTCATTTTAAAATCCTCTACTTCCAGTTCAATTATCCATTCTGACTTATTTAAGGTACTTTTGGGGGGTAACTGTATGTAATAACAGACCTTTACTGTTCAGATGCAAGTATGATTCAATCCAGATTCCTTCATGGTAATTTACTGCAGGTGGTAAATTAAGACAGGCAAGGGTAAGTAGATAGAATTATGTTAATTTAATGCCTTAACAAGCATTAATGACCCACTTGACCTTTTATAAATAGGCTGGGTTAGTTAGGTCTGGTGGGAAGATGCATGCAAAACAAAGCTAACTTAAAAAGCTAAGCTTCAGAGAATGTGAGTGAAAGATTTCACTGAAACAGTCCATCAAATCTCAGGAGTATGGTGCAGGCAGTAAATCCCCCATCAGATAAAGTGGGCCTTAAAAGGTTTGCATACAAATGACTGAAGAAAAAAAGTCAATGAGGTAGATTTTCAGCTTTCCACCTGGGTCTAAACCCAATGTTGTAGATCAGCGGATAAGATTATTGAATAATAAAGCATGGAAAGCGGCCATTCAGTTGATCATGCTTCTGCTTGCTGTCTGAAAGAGCTAACAAATAGCAGCAAGCTATTTTCCTGCTGTTTTCCTTTTTAAGTACCTATCTGATTCCTTACCTCTGAATTTTCTTCCCCCGTTCTTTCTGGCAACACATTTCCAGTCATTTCCTTATCTGCCCCACTGGCACAAACAAATTTACCAGGTTTTATTATGACTGTGTCCTCTGGTAAGGCTGTACGGTCTTGTAGGATGTAGGAACAGAACTAGGCCATTCAGCCCATCAGGTCTGTTCTGTCATTCAATGAGATCATGACTGATCTGAGAATCTGAACATCAACTTAAATTTCTTCAGAGTGTTTCCCTGACTGTTTATTCCGTGAGTAGCCACGGTTTTCTGACAAGGACTGTGCTATACTGGATCTGGGAATTAGTGGATGTTGGCTTGGGTTGCATCACTCTAGCTTCGACATTGGAAGATCAGTATGTCAGCAGGTTCAGGTCTTGCTTCAGATAATCTCACCTGACATGCTACTAAAATCCTGAGTTATACTGTTGAGGCTGCCTTCTTTCGGATTTGACGTTAAAGCAAGGATCTCTGCCCTGTCTGTGCAATGTAAAATGTTCTGTGATGTTATTCATAAAACAGTAGGTATTTCTCCACAATATTTATTCCTCCACCCAAAGTACTAGAACAGACTATTTGGTTATTACCATGCTGCTTATTGTCGGTGCCTGCTTTTTGAAAATTGGCAGCTATGTTTCTTACATAACAACACTGACTACTCTTCAAATATACTTCATTTAAATCCAAGAGCTGCCACAGTTTATAGCTCACATTTACCAGTTGGCAGGACAAGATTGTTGATCCACATTGTCTCCAGAACAGCCTTAAAGGGGCAGCATCAGAAGTGAAAGGAAAGGAAGCTGCTGTACTTTAGAATGAAAGAAGGATTATTGAGGTCCAACGGTGAATAGATAAAAATGAGATGATCCCCTGTGCCCTCATTACTGACACACCTGACCTGTTTAACACCTGGACAGTTGCATGACTGAGAGTCAAAATTTCCTGATGTTCATTTGATAAGAATATGACCAATTTCAACCTCTATGTGGATCAAATACTGTGAGCTAACTGTGGTGGTTATGGCAAGAAAACCCAAGCTGAATATATGTGAGGGATTGATGTTGTGACAATGCCACTAGACTATTAATCCAAAACCCCAGACTAGTATTTTGGGGACGTGGACTGATGGTGAAATTTGAATTTGATTTTAAAAGAAATGGAATAAAACTGCCACCCTAATGGTGGCCACGTAATCACTGTCAATTGTCATAATTCATTTGGTTCACTGGTATCCTTTTAGGCAAGGTATGCTGCCATCCTTAGGTTGTCTGGTCTACATGTGACTCCAGACCCATAGAAACGTGGTTGACATTTAGCTGCCTTCTGGGCAATTAGGGATGAGCAATAAATGTTGGCCCAGACAGTGACCCATGAATAAATAGGAAAAAAAATGCTTATGGAATCCACTTTGATATTGAAAACCTCCAAACAGGAATTAAGTATCCAATCTAAATATAGGATTTGGCTGTTCTCTTTGTCTTTTGGATTTCAACATAGTTACTATAAATTTACAGTGGGTCTGTCAATATTTGAGAGGCTATGATGAGCTGTGAAACTTGCCCTGGTTCTTTTCTTCAGCTACAATGCAATTTCCTTTATTTTCTCCATCAAAGATCAAGAAGAGATGCTGATGCTTTTAGGAGGCCTGTAAAGATTATGAACTCTGTTGTTTTGTTTTCTCTCCACAGATGCTGCCAGACCTGCTGAGTGTCTGGGCACTTTCTGTTTTTATTTCACAGCATGCACAGTGCATTGCTTTTGTGTTTAAGATTGGATGAATTTACCTTTAAAGAGGATGGTCTCCTCCAGAGAAGTTGCAGAGAGAGAAAAATAGAATGTAGCTGTGGATTGTCTAATTGGTGCTAAATTTGTTTTGTGTTGTTAACAGGAATCTCCCTTGCATGAGAGAAACTAAATATTGTCAAGATGTGGGCCTGATTGCCAAAGGGACGAAAGATTATTGGGGTATGCAGGAATGTAGAATTCAAGTTAAAATCGAATCAGCCATGATCTCATTGATTGGTGGAGCAGGCTACTCTTGTTCCTTGTTCGTGTGTTCATTGCACACAGGATTTGGATGTATGGAAACTGTTGAAAGTTGAGGAGTGTTCTCACAGTAACATATCTGGTTGTTTTACTGTTTTTAGCTGTTGTGGAATAGTCTTTATAACAAAACCTGTATGGAATATTAGTGCTAAAATACAATACAAAAACACTTATTCCTCAATACACTGTTCAGGGACTTTTCTCTAAATGAATTTGAAAATCTTGGTGGGACTAGTTTAGGTCGGGATTATGGTTGGCATGGACTGATGGACCGAAGGGTCTTTTTCCACGCTGTATGACTTTATGACTCATAGGGAACAAAGTTGAAGACTTTGGGCAAATCTTGTTGAAGTGGAGTTTCCATAAATGTTGGACCATTTATTCAGCTCAAAACCATTTTGTGCTGCTATTCACTGAATGTGTGAGATAATTGTCCTATTCCAAGTCACTTTGTTAACCATTGGTGAAGAACTAGAGTGTAACCTGCACAGCATATAACTAACAGCAGCAGGGTGCAACTTTGTCAGCTCTTAATTGACCTAGTCCTCTGAGCATCACGTTGGTAACTATGGAATAATGGTTAAGGTTGTGGCATCAATAGAATGCCGATAAAGGAGAAAGTTGGGAGAGTAGGAAAATACAAAGGAAATAATAAATAATGGATTGTTCCTACTAAAGAATATATAATACCCAGGTATATAATAGACACATATGTGCCTGCATTTAAAAAAAACATAGCCCTGTATACGAGTACCGCCATTTAGATTCTAACATTTTCGCCATCAACATGAGGAGCTTCGCAACAACTTAGCAAACTGCTTGTTGAAAATTGGAGTCTAATTAAAGCTATATATACAGGAGTTGAAAAAAAAATGTGATTGATGCTCATGAAGTCATGGCTCCTTAATGGAGTCTTGTTTGACAGTGATTGCAAAAGCCCATTTAACATCTGATGCTTTGTTTTGATGTACAGTGTCATTCCTTCACTTCCGATTAAAATTCAAAATCGGCGTGCCAAATCCGTCATTTAACACGCGCCTCAAAAAAGCGACGGGTGCAAATTATTTTGTCAATGGGGCCAGCAATCACACTGCACTGATGAACTGTGTTCAACCGTCTCCTCGAGCCAGTGGCTTTTCACAGCGAGCGCTGTGGGAGCATAGGCGGGGGCAGACTCTTCTGTAATTAACAAATAAATACATTATTTCCATATTCCCCACCACCCCCACCCCCGCCATCCAACCCCAACCTTCACCTACCCTTGTCAGGTGGCAGATGACAGTGCTGGGAAATGGACTTGCTGTTAGTTCATACTTGTTATTAGCATTTTCCTATTCATTAGCTTTACTTCAGATGCAAAGTCTCACTGTGCTAATAAAACCTGGAGATAGATTATGGGCTTCAGATACCAGAACATAATGAAGTCCCCTCCCGTATGGTCATATAGAAGACAAATGTCAGCAAGCATTGATTTTGTTATAAAATTAACCACTGCCTATTGCAATAATCTACGAGCCCTTTGTGTTTGCTCCTTACATCCTGAAAGCACAAGGTGTGGCTCTTTAGTATGGTTTTTATTGTGGTGATGGGTTCCTCACTTAATTAAAAAAAATCCAGTTCCTCTCTCTAAGCTTTGCAGTTTAGTTATCAATATGGGAGGTTTGACATGCCAAAGGATGTGTCAAAGGAACCTTTATGTCCCAAATGCTTGACCTGGTGTGGCAATAAAATTGCGGGGTATTGTGTAAAGTGCCCATTTCCCGAAGAGCTTGAATGACATGCTTGTGCTTAAATTGTGGGAGTTTCCTACTGAGATTCAGGGAGTTGACACCTATAAGAGCTTCAATAATTTCACTGAGATGCTGCTGATTTTATGAATATTTTAGCCTGTCTTCTTTAGTTTCATAGCAGGAAGAAAAATATATTATATACATTTCTAATCAATTCAATCAAGACCTAATTTATTCCTTTTTTTTCTCTGAGAAATGTAATTATTAGCAATGACATGGCTGTGTAGATATATCAGTAACAGATTTTTATTTCAAATAAAGAAAACAGGCGCTGTGTTGTGGGTGGATAACATTTTCTTCCCTTGTCCTAAATTATTAGCTCTCAAAACATCAACTTATTTGTTCCTTTCATTTGCAAATATTTCAAGAGAGAAAAATTCCTATCAGACATG